GCGGTCCAGGATCCGAGTAACATTGCTTCACATTTTATACCGGTACGGATTTCGCAGCTTCCCGGGCTCACAAACGCCCTTATATGGGGACGGTTCTTCATGCGGCGGGCCCGTTTGAAGGCAAAAAGAGCTGGAATCTCGTCCCAAGGTATCTAGGATTGTGGCAAACACGATCGTGCTGGGCGGTCCAGGATCCGAGTAACATTGCTTCACATTTTATACCGGTACGGATTTCGCAGCTTCCCGGGCTCACAAACGCCCTTATATGGGGACGGTTCTTCATGCGGCGGGCCCGTCTGAAGGCAAAAAGAGCCGGAATCTCGTCCCAAGGTATCTAGGATTGTGGCAAACACGATCGTGCTGGGCGGTCCAGGATCCGAGTAACATTGCTTCACATTTTATACCGGTACGGATTTCGCAGCTTCCCGGGCTCACAAACGCCCTTATATGGGGACGGTTCTTCATGCGGCGGGCCCGTCTGAAGGCAAAAAGAGCTGGAATCTCGTCCCAAGGTATCTAGGATTGTGGCAAACATGATCGTGCTGGGCGGTCCAGGATCCGAGTAACATTGCTTCACATTTTATACCGGTACGGATTTCGCAGCTTCCCGGGCTCACAAACGCCCTTATATGGGGACGGTTCTTCATGCGGCGGGCCCGTCTGAAGGCAAAAAGAGCCGGAATCTCGTCCCAAGGTATCTAGGATTGTGGCAAATACGATCGTGCTGGGCGGTCCAGGATCCGAGTAACATTGCTTCACATTTTATACCGGTACGGATTTCGCAGCTTCCCGGGCTCACAAACGCCCTTATATGGGGACGGTTCTTCATGCGGCGGGCCCGTCTGAAGGCAAAAAGAGCTGGAATCTCGTCCCAAGTTATCTAGGATTGTGGCAAACACGATCGTGCTGGGCGGTCCAGGATCCGAGTAACATTGCTTCACATTTTATACCGATACGGATTTCGCAGCTTCCCGGGCTCACAAACGCCCTTATATGGGGACGGTTCTTCGTGCGGCGGGCCCGTCTGAAGGCAAAAAGAGCTGGAATCTCGTCCCAAGGTATCTAGGATTGTGGCAAACACGATCGTGCTGGGCGGTCCAGGATCCGAGTAACATTGCTTCACATTTTATACCGGTACGGATTTCGCAGCTTCCCGGGCTCACAAACGCCCTTATATGGGGACGGTGCTTCATGCGGCGGGCCCGTTTGAAGGCAAAAAGAGCTGGAATCTCGTCCCAAGGTATCTAGGATTGTGGCAAACACGATCGTGCTGGGCGGTCCAGGATCCGAGTAACATTGCTTCACATTTTATACCGGTACGGATTTCGCAGCTTCCCGGGCTCACAAACGCCCTTATATGGGGACGGTTCTTCATGCGGCGGGCCCGTTTGAAGGCAAAAAGAGCTGGAATCTCGTCCCAAGGTATCTAGGATTGTGGCAAACACGATCGTGCTGGGCGGTCCAGGATCCGAGTAACATTGCTTCACATTTTATACCGGTACGGATTTCGCAGCTTCCCGGGCTCACAAACGCCCTTATATGGGGACGGTTTCTTCATGCGGCGGGCCCGTCTGAAGGCAAAAAGAGCCGGAATCTCGTCCCAAGGTATCTAGGATTGTGGCAAATACGATCGTGCTGGGCGGTCCAGGATCCGAGTAACATTGCTTCACATTTTATACCGGTACGGATTTCGCAGCTTCCCGGGCTCACAAACGCCCTTATATGGGGACGGTTCTTCATGCGGCGGGCCCGTTTGAAGGCAAAAAGAGCTGGAATCTCGTCCCAAGGTATCTAGGATTGTGGCAAACACGATCGTGCTGGGCGGTCCAGGATCCGAGTAACATTGCTTCACATTTTATACCGGTACGGATTTCGCAGCTTCCCGGGCTCACAAACGCCCTTATATGGGGACGGTTTCTTCATGCGGCGGGCCCGTCTGAAGGCAAAAAGAGCCGGAATCTCGTCCCAAGGTATCTAGGATTGTGGCAAATACGATCGTGCTGGGCGGTCCAGGATCCGAGTAACATTGCTTCACATTTTATACCGGTACGGATTTCGCAGCTTCCCGGGCTCACAAACGCCCTTATATGGGGACGGTTCTTCATGCGGCGGGCCCGTTTGAAGGCAAAAAGAGCTGGAATCTCGTCCCAAGGTATCTAGGATTGTGGCAAACACGATCGTGCTGGGCGGTCCAGGATCCGAGTAACATTGCTTCACATTTTATACCGGTACGGATTTCGCAGCTTCCCGGGCTCACAAACGCCCTTATATGGGGACGGTTTCTTCATGCGGCGGGCCCGTCTGAAGGCAAAAAGAGCCGGAATCTCGTCCCAAGGTATCTAGGATTGTGGCAAATACGATCGTGCTGGGCGGTCCAGGATCCGAGTAACATTGCTTCACATTTTATACCGGTACGGATTTCGCAGCTTCCCGGGCTCACAAACGCCCTTATATGGGGACGGTTCTTCATGCGGCGGGCCCGTCTGAAGGCAAAAAGAGCTGGAATCTCGTCCCAAGGTATCTAGAATTGTGGCAAACACGATCGTGCTGGGCGGTCCAGGATCCGAGTAACATTGCTTCACATTTTATACCGGTATGGATTTCGCAGCTTCCCGGGCTCACAAACGCCCTTATATGGGGACGGTGCTTCATGCGGCGGGCCCGTTTGAAGGCAAAAAGAGCTGGAATCTCGTCCCAAGGTATCTAGGATTGTGGCAAACACGATCGTGCTGGGCGGTCCAGGATCCGAGTAACATTGCTTCACATTTTATACCGGTACGGATTTCGCAGCTTCCCGGGCTCACAAACGCCCTTATATGGGGACGGTGCTTCATGCGGCGGGCCCGTTTGAAGGCAAAAAGAGCTGGAATCTCGTCCCAAGGTATCTAGGATTGTGGCAAACACGATCGTGCTGGGCGGTCCAGGATCCGAGTAACATTGCTTCACATTTTATACCGGTACGGATTTCGCAGCTTCCCGGGCTCACAAACGCCCTTATATGGGGACGGTTCTTCATGCGGCGGGCCCGTTTGAAGGCAAAAAGAGCTGGAATCTCGTCCCAAGGTATCTAGGATTGTGGCAAACACGATCGTGCTGGGCGGTCCAGGATCCGAGTAACATTGCTTCACATTTTATACCGGTACGGATTTCGCAGCTTCCCGGGCTCACAAACGCCCTTATATGGGGACGGTTCTTCATGCGGCGGGCCCGTCTGAAGGCAAAAAGAGCCGGAATCTCGTCCCAAGGTATCTAGGATTGTGGCAAACACGATCGTGCTGGGCGGTCCAGGATCCGAGTAACATTGCTTCACATTTTATACCGGTACGGATTTCGCAGCTTCCCGGGCTCACAAACGCCCTTATATGGGGACGGTTCTTCATGCGGAGGGCCCGTTTGAAGGCAAAAAGAGCTGGAATCTCGTCCCTAGGTATCTAGGATTGTGGCAAACACGATCGTGCTGGGCGGTCCAGGATCCGAGTAACATTGCTTCACATTTTATACCGGTACGGATTTCGCAGCTTCCCGGGCTCACAAACGCCCTTATATGGGGACGGTTCTTCATGCGGCGGGCCCGTCTGAAGGCAAAAAGAGCCGGAATCTCGTCCCAAGGTATCTAGGATTGTGGCAAATACGATCGTGCTGGGCGGTCCAGGATCCGAGTAACATTGCTTCACATTTTATACCGGTACGGATTTCGCAGCTTCCCGGGCTCACAAACGCCCTTATATGGGGACGGTTCTTCATGCGGAGGGCCCGTTTGAAGGCAAAAAGAGCTGGAATCTCGTCCCAAGGTATCTAGGATTGTGGCAAACACGATCGTGTTGGGCGGTCCAGGATCCGAGTAACATTGCTTCACATTTTATACCAGTACGGATTTCGCAGCTTCCTGGGCTCACAAACGCCCTTATATGGGGACGGTTTTTCATCCGGCGGGCAAGTTTGAAGGCAAAAAGAGCTGGAATCTCGTCCCAAGGTATCTAGGATTGTGGCAAACATGATCGTGCTGGGCGGTCCAGGATCCGAGTAACATTGCTTCACATTTTATACCGGTATGGATTTCCCAGCTTCCCTGGCTCACAAACGCCCTTATACGGGGACGGTTTTTTATGAGGCGGGCCCGTTTGAAGGCAAAAAGAGCTGGAATCTCGTCCCAAGGTATCTAGGATTGTGGTAAACACGATCGTGCTGGGCGGTCCAGGATCTGGTTAACATTGCTTCACATTTTATACCGGTACGGATTTCGCAGCCTCGCGGGCTCACAAACGCCCTTATATGGGGACGATGTTTCATGCGCCGGGCCCGTTTGAAGGCAAAAAGAGCTGGAATGTCGTCCCAAGGTATCTAGGATTGTGGCAAACACGATCGTGCTGGGCGGTCCAGGATCCGAGTAACATTGCTTCACATTTTATACCGGTATGGATTTCGCAGCTTCCCGGGCTCACAAACGCCCTTATATGGGGACGGTTTTTCATGCGGCGGGCCTGTTTGAAGGTAAAAAGAGCTGGAATCTCGTCCCAAGGTATCTAGGATTGTGGCAAACACGATCGTGCTGGGCGGTCCAGGATCCGAGTAACATTGCTTCACATTTTATACCAGTACGGATTTCGCAGCTTCCCGGGCTCACAAACGCCCTTATATGGGGACGTTTTTTCATGCAGCGGGCCCGTTTGAAGGCAAAAAGAGCTGGAATCTCGTCCCAAGGTATCTAGGATTGTGGCAAACACGATCGTGCTGGGCGGTCCAGGATCCGAGTAACATTGCTTCACATTTTATACCGGTACGGACCTCGCAGCCTCGCCGGCTCACAAACGCCCTTGTAGGGGGATGACTTTTCATGCGGCGGGCCCGTTTGAAGGCAAACAGAGCTGGAATCTCGTCCCAAGGTATCTAGGATTGTGGCAAACACGATCATGCTGGGCGGTCCAGGATCCGAGTAACATTGCTTCACATTTTATACCGGTACGGATTTCGCAGCCTCGCGGGCTCACAAACGCCCTTATATGGGGACGATTTTTCATGCGGCGGGCCCGTTTGAAGCCAAAAAGAGCCGGAATCTCGTCCCAAGGTATCTACGATTGTGGCAAACACAATCATGCTGGGCGGTCCAGGATCCGAGTAACATTGCTTCACATTTTATACCGGTACGGATTTCGCAGCTTCCCGGGCTCACAAACGCCCTTATATGGGGACGGTTTTTCATGCGGCGGGCCCGTTTGAAGGCAAAAAGAGCTGGAATCTTGTCCCAAGGTATCTAGAATTGTGGCAAACACGATCGTGCTGGGCGGTCTAGGATCCGAGTAACATTGCTTCACATTTAACACATTTGACTTCCATCACCCGCCCCATTCTCCCGCTTTCCATCACCTCGCCCCATTCTCCCGCTTTCCATCACCCCGCCCCATTCTTCTGCTTTCCATCACCCCGCCCCATTCTCCCGCTTTCCATCACCTTGCCCCATTCACCCGCTTTCCATCACCCTCCCCATTCTCCCGCTTTCCATCATCCCACCCCATTCACCCGCTTTCCATCACCCTCCCCATTCTCCCGCTTTCCATCATCCCACCCCATTCTCCCGCTTTCCATCACCCCGCCCCATTCTCCCGCTTTTCATCACCCCGCCCCATTCTCCCGCTTTCCAACACCCCAGCCCATTCTCTCGCTTTCCATCACCCCGCCCCCTTCTTCCTCCTTCCATCACCCGCCCCATTCTCCCGCTTTCCATCACCCCGCCCCATTCTCCCGCTTTCCATCACCCCGCTCCATTCTCCCGCTTTCCATCACCCCGCCCCATTCTCCCGCTTCCCATAACCCCACCCCATTCTCCCGCTTTCCATCACCCCGCCACATTTTCCCACTTTCCATCACCCCGCCCCCTTCTCTCTCCTTCCATCACCCCGCCCCATTCTCCCTCCTTCCATCACCCCGCCCCATTCTCCCGCTTTCCATCAGCCCGCCCCATTCTCCCGCTTTCCATCACCCTGCCCCTTTCTCCCGCTTTCCATCTCCCCGCCCCATTCTCCCGCTTTCCATCACACCGCCCCATTCTCCCGCGTTCCATCACCCCGCCCCATTCTTCCGCTTCCCATCATCCCGCCCCATTCCCCCGCTTTCCATCACCCCTCCCCATTCTCCCTCCTTCCATCACCCCGCCCCATTCTCCCACTTTCCATCACCCGCCCCATTCTCCCGCTTTCCATCACCTCGCCCCATTCTCCCGCTTTCCATCACCCCGCCCCATTCTTCTGCTTTCCATCACCCCGCCCCATTCTCCCGCTTTCCATCACCCTGCCCCATTCACCCGCTTTCCATCACCCGCCCCATTCTCCCGCTTTCCATCACCCCGCCCCATTCTCCCGCTTTCCATCACCCCGCCCCATTCTCCCGCTTTTCATCACCCCGCCCCATTCTCCTGCTTTCCAACACCCCAGCCCATTGTCTCTCGCTTTCCATCACCCCGCCCCCTTCTTCCTCCTTCCATCACCCCGCCCCATTCTCCCTCCTTCCTTCACCCCGCCCCATTCTCCCGCTTTCCATCACCCCGCCCCATTCTCCCTCCTTCCATCACCCCGACCCATTCTCCCTCCTTTGATCACCCCGCCCCATTCTCCCGCTTTCCATCAGCCCTCCCCATTCTCCCGCTTTCCATCACCCCGCCCCATTCTCTCGCTTTTCATCACCCCACCCCATTCTCCCGCTTTCCATCACCCCGCCCCCTTCTCCCTCCTTCCATCACCCCGCCCCATTCTCCCTCCTTCCATCACCCCGCCCCATTCTCCCACTTTCTATCAGCCCGCCCCATTCTCCCGCTTTCCATCACCCCGCCCCTTTCTCCCGCTTTCCATCTCCCTGCCCCATTCTCCCGCTTTCCATCACCCCGCCCCATTCTCCCGCTTTCCATCACCCCGCCCCATTCTCCCGCTTCCCATCATCCCGCCCCATTCCCCCGCTTTCCATCACCCCTCCCCATTCTCCCTCCTTCCATCACCCGGCCCCATTCTCCCGCTTTCCATCACCCGCCCCATTCTCCCGCTTTCCATCACCCCGCCCCATTCTCCCGCTTTCCATCACCCCGCCCCATTCTCCCGGTTTCCATCACCCCGCCCCATTCTCCCACTTTCCATCACCCCGCCCCATTCTCCCTCCTTCCATCACCCCGCCTCATTCTACCTCCTTCCATCACCCCGCCCCATGCTCCCGCTTTCCATCACCCCGCCCCATTCTCCTGCTTTCCATCACTCCGCCCCATTCTCCTGCTTTCCATCACCCCGCCCCATTCTCCCGCTTTCCATCACCCCGCCCCATTCTTCTCCTTCCATCACCCCGCCTCATTCTACCTCCTTCCATCACCCTGCCCCATTCTCCCGCTTTCCGTCACCCCGCCGCATTCTCCCGCTTTCCATAACCCCGCCCCATTCTCCCGCTTTCCATCACCCCGCCACATTCTCCCACTTTCCATCACCCCGCCCCCATTCTCCCTCCTTCCATCACCCCGCCCCCTTCTCCCTCCTTCCATCACCCCGCCCCATTCTCCCTCCTTTGATCACCCCGCCCCATTCTCCCGCATTCCATCACCCCGCCCCATTCTCTCGCTTTTCATCACCCCACCCCATTCTCCCGCTTTCCATTACCCCGCCCCATTCTCTCGCTTTTCATCACCCCACCCCATTCTCCCGCTTTCCATCACCCCGCCACCTTCTCCCTCCTTCCATCACCCCGCCCCATTCTCCCTCCTTCCATCACCCCGCCCCTTTCTCCCGCTTTCCATCTCCCTACCCCATTCTCCCGCTTTCCATCACCCCGCCCCAATCTCCCGCTATCCATCACCCCACCCCATTCTCCCGCTTCCCATCATCCTGCCCCATTCCCCCGCTTTCCATCACCCCTCCCCATTCTCCCTCCTTCCATCACCCCGCCCCATTCTCCCGCTTTCCATCACCCGCCCCATTCTCCCGCTTTCCATCACCCCGCCCCATTCTCCCGCTTTCCATCACCCCTCCCCATTCTCCCGGTTTCCATCACCCTGCCCCATTCTCCCACTTTCCATCACCCCGCCCCATTCTCCCTCCTTCCATCACCCCGCCTCATTCTACCTCCTTCCATCACCCCGCCCCATGCTCCCGCTTTCCATCACCCCGCCCCATTCTCCCGCTTTTCATCACCCCGCCCCATTCTCCCGCTTTCCATCACCCCGCCCCATTCTCCCGCTTTCCATCACCCCGCCCCATTCTCCCTCCTTCCATCACCCCGCCCCATTCTCCCGCTTTCCATCAGCCCACCCCATTCACCCGCTTTCCATCACACCGCCCCATTCTCCCGCTTTCCATCACCCCGCCCCATTCTCCCGCTTTCCATCACCCCGCCCCATTCTCCCATCACCCCGCCCCATTCTCCCGCTTTCCATCACCACGCCCCATTCTCCCGCTTTCCATCATCCCGCCCCATTCTCCCGCTTTCCATCACTCCGCCCCATTCTCCCGCTTTCCATTACCCCGCCCCATTCTCCCGCTTTCCATCACCCCGCCCCATTCTTCTCCTTCCATCACCCCGCCTCATTCTACCTCCTTCCATCACCCCGCCCCATTCTCCCGCTTTCCATCACCCCGCCACATTCTCCCGCTTTCCATCACCCCGCCCCATTCTCCCGCTTTCCATCACCACGCCCCATTCTCCCGCTTTCCATCACCCCGCCCCATTCTCCCTCCTTCCATCACCCTGCCCCATTCTCCCGCTTTCCGTCACCCCGCCCCATTCTCCCGCTTTCCATAACCCCGCCCCATTCTCCCGCTTTCCATCAACCCGCCACATTCTCCCACTTTCCATCACCCCGCCCCATTCTCCCTCCTTCCATCACCCCGCCCCATTCTCCCTCCTTCCATCACCCCGCCCCATTCTCCCTCCATTGATCACCCCGCCCCATTCTCCCGCTTTCCATCAGCCCTCCCCATTCTCCCGCTTTCCATCACCCCCCCCCATTCTCTCGCTTTCCATCACCCCACCCCATTCTCCCGCTTTCCATCACCCCGCCCCCTTCTCTCTCCTTCCATCACCCCGCCCCATTCTCCCTCCTTCCATCACCCCGCCCCATTCTCCTACTTTCTATCAGCCCGCCCCATTCTCCCGCTTTCCATCTCCACACCCCATTCTCCCACTTTCCATCACCCCGCCCCATTCTCCTGCTTTCCATCACCCCGCCCCATTCTTCCGCTTCCCATCATCCCGCCCCATTCCCCCGCTTTCCATCACCCCTCCCCATTCTCCCTCCTTCCATCACCCCGCCCCATTCTCCCGCTTTCCATCACCCGCCCCATTCTCCCGCTTTCCATCACCTCGCCCCATTCTCCCGCTTTCCATCACCTCGCCCCATTCTTCTGCTTTCCATCACCCCGCCCCATTCTCCCGCTTTCAATCACCCCGCCCCATTCACCCGCATTCCATAACCCGCCCTATTCTCCCGCTTTCCATCACCGCGCCCTGTTCTCCCGCTTTACCTCACCCCGCCCCATCCTCCCGCTTTTCATCACCCCGCCCCATTCTCCCGCTTTCCAACACCCCGCCCCGTTCTCCCGCTTTCCATCACCCCGCCCCATTCTCCCGCTTTCCATCACCCCGCCCCATTCCGCTTTCCATCACTCCGCCCCATTCTCCCGCTTTCCATCACCCCGCCCCATTCTCCCGCTTTCCATCAACCCGCCCCATTCTCCCTCCTTCCATCACCCCGCCTCATTCTCCCTCCTTCCATCACCCCACCCCATTCTCCCGCTTTCCATCACCCCGCCCCATTCTCCTGCTTTCCATCACCCAGCCCCATTCTCGCGCTTTCCATCACCCCGCCCCATTTTCCCGCTTTCCATCACCCCGCCCCATTCTCCCGCTTTCCATCAACCTGCCCCAATCTCCCGCTTTCCATCACCCCGCCCCATTCTCCCTCCTTCCATCACCCCACCCCATTCTCCCTCCTTCCATCACCCCGCCCCATTCTCCCGCTTTCCATAACCCCGCCCCATTCTCCCTCCTTTCATCACCCGCCCCATTCTCCCTCCTTCCATCACCCCGCCCCATTCTCCCTCCTTCCATCACCCCGCCCCATTCTCCCACTTTCCATCGGCCCGCCCCATTCTCCCGCTTTCCATCACCCCGCCCCATTCTCCCGCTTTCCATCACCCCGCCCCATTCTCCCGCTTTCCATCAGCCCACCCCATTCTCCCGCTTTCCATCACCCCGCCCCATTCTCCCGCTTTCCATCACCCTGCCCCATTCTCCCTCCTTCCATCACCCCGCCTCATTCTACCTCCTTCCATCACCCCGCCCCATTCTCCCGCTTTCCATCACCTCGCCCCATTCTCCCGCTTTCCATCACCCCGCCCCATTCCTCTGCTTTCCATCACCCCGCCCCATTCTCCCGCTTTCCATCACCCCGCCCCATTCACCCGCTTTCCATCACCTGCCCCATTCTCCCGCTTTCCATCACCCCGCCCCAGTCTCCCGCTTTCCATCACCCCGCCCCATTCTCCCGCTTTTCATCACCCCGCCCCATTCTCCCGCTTTCCATCACCTCGCCCCATTCTCCCTCCTTCCATCACTCCGCCCCATTCTCCCGCTTTCCATCACCCCGCCCCATTCTCCCGCTTTCCATCACCCCGCCCCATTCTCCCGCTTTCCATCACCCCGCCCCATTCACCCGCTTTCCATCACCCGCCCCATTCTCCCGCTTTCCATCACCCCGCCCCATTCTCCCGCATTTCATCACCCCGCCCCATTCTCCCGCTTTCCATCACCCCGCCCCATTCTCCCGCTTTCCATCACTCCGCCCCATTCTCCTGCTTTCCATCACCCCGCCCCATTCTCCCGCTTTCCATCACCCCGCCCCATTCTCCCTCCTTCCATCACCCCGCCTCATTCTCCCGCTTCCCATCATCCCGCCCCATTCCCCCGCTTTCCATCACCTCTCCCTCCTTCCATCACCCCGCCCCATTCTCCCGCTTTCCATCACCCCACCCCATTCTCCCGCTTTCTATCACCCCACCCCATTCTCCCGCTTTCCATCACCCCGCCCCATTGTCCCGCTTTCCATCACCCCGCCCCATTCTCCCGCTTTTCATCACCCCGCCCCATTCTCCCGCTTTCCATCACCTCGCCCCATTCTCCCTCCTTCCATCACTCCGCCCCATTCTCCCGCTTTCCATCACCCCGCCCCATTCTCCCGCTTTCCATCACCCCGCCCCATTCTCCCGCTTTCCATCACCCCGCCCCATTCACCCGCTTTCCATCACCCGCCCCATTCTCCCGCTTTCCATCACCCCGCCCCATTCTCCCGCATTTCATCACCCCGCCCCATTCTCCCGCTTTCCATCACCCCGCCCCATTCTCCCGCTTTCCATCACTCCGCCCCATTCTCCTGCTTTCCATCACCCCGCCCCATTCTCCCGCTTTCCATCACCCCGCCCCATTCTCCCTCCTTCCATCACCCCGCCTCATTCTCCCGCTTCCCATCATCCCGCCCCATTCCCCCGCTTTCCATCACCTCTCCCTCCTTCCATCACCCCGCCCCATTCTCCCGCTTTCCATCACCCCACCCCATTCTCCCGCTTTCTATCACCCCACCCCATTCTCCCGCTTTCCATCACCCCGCCCCATTGTCCCGCTTTCCATCACCCCGCCCCATTGTCCCGCTTTCCATCACCCCGCCCCATTCTCCCACTTTCCATCACCCAAGCCTATTCTCCCGCTTTCCATCTCCCCGCCCCATTCTCCCGCTTTCCATCACCCCGCTCCATTCTCCCGCTTTCCATCACCCCGCCCCATTCTCCCTCTTTCGATCGCCCCACCCCATTCTCCCTCCTTCCATCACCCCGCCCCATTTTCCCTCCTTCCATCACCCCGCCCCATTCTCCCTCCTTCCATCACCCCGCCCCATTCTCCCGCTTTCCATCACCCCGCCCCATTCTCCCGCTTTCCATCACCCCGCCCCAATCTCCCGCTTTCCATCACCCCGCCCCATTCTCCCGCTTTCCATCACCCCGCCCCAGTCTCCTGCTTTCCATCACCCTGCCCCATTCACCCGCTTTCCGTCACCCCGCCCCATTCTCCCGCTATCCATCACCCCGCCCCATTCTCCCGCTTTCCATCACCCTGCCCCATTCTCCCGCTTTCCATCACCCCGCCCCATTCTCCCGCTTTCCATCACCCCGCCTCATTCTCCCGCTTCCCATCATCCCGCCCCATTCCCCCGCTTTCCATCACCTCTCCCTCCTTCCATCACCCCGCCCCATTCTCCCGCTTTCCATCACCCCGCCGCATTCTCCCGCTTTCCATCACCTCGCCCCATTCTCCCGCTTTCCATCACCCAGCCCCATTCTTCCGCTTTCCATCACCCCGCCCCATTCACCCGCTTTCCATCACCCCACCCCATTCTCCCGCTTTCTATCACCCCGCCCCATTCTCCCGCTTTCCATCACCCCACCCCATTCTCCCGCTTTCAATCACCCCGCCCCATTCTCCCGCTTTCCATCACCCCACCCCATTCTCCCGCTTTCCATCACCCCTTTCCATTCTCCCGCTTTCCATCACCCCGCCCCATTCTCCCGCTTTCCATCACCCCGCCCCATTCTCCCGCTTCCCATCACCCCGCCCCATTCTCCCGCTTTCCATCACCCCGCCCCATTCTCCCGCTTTCCATCACCCCGCCCCATTCTCCCTCCTTCCATCACCCCGCCTCATTCTCCCTCCTTCCATCACCCCGCCCCATTCTCCCGCTTTCCATTACCCCGCCCCATTCTCCCGCTTTCCATCACCCCGCCCCATTCTCCCTCTTTCCATCACCCCGCCCCATTCTCCCGCTTCCCATCATCCCGCCCCATTCCCCCGCTTTCCATCACCCCTCCCCATTCTCCCTCCTTCCATCACCCCGCCCCATTCTCCCGCTTTCCATTACCACGCCTTATTCTCCCGCTTTCCATCACCCCGCCCCATTCTCCCGCTTTCCATCACCCCGCCCCATTCTCCCGCTTCCCATCATCCGGCCCCATTCCCCCGCTTTCCATCACCCCTCCCCATTCTCCCTCCTTCCATCACCCCGCCCCATTCTCCCGCTTTCCATCACCCGCCCCATTCTCCCGCTTTCCAATACCTCGCCCCATTCTCCCGCTTTCCATCACCTCGCCCCATTCTTCTGCTTTCCATCACCCCGCCCCATTCTCCCGCTTTCAATCACCCCGCCCCATTCACCCGCATTCCATAACCCGCCCCATTCTCCCGCTTTCCATCACCCCGCCCCGTTCTCCCGCTTTACCTCACCCCGCCCCATCCTCCCGCTTTTCATCACCCCGCCCCATTCTCCCGCTTTCCAACACCCCGCCCCGTTCTCCCGCTTTCCATCACCCCGCCCCATTCTCCCGCTTTCCATCACCCCGCCCCATTCTCCCGCTTTCCATCACTCCGCCCCATTCTCCCGCTTTCCATCACCCCGCCCCATTCTCCCGCTTTCCATCAACCCGCCCCATTCTCCCTCCTTCCATCACCCCGCCTCATTCTCCCTCCTTCCATCACCCCGCCCCATTCTCCCGCTTTCCATCACCCCGCCCCATTCTCCTGCTTTCCATCACCCAGCCCCATTCTCGCGCTTTCCATCACCCCGCCCCATTTTCCCGCTTTCCATCACCCCGCCCCATTCTCCCGCTTTCCATCAACCTGCCCCAATCTCCCGCTTTCCATCACCCCGCCCCATTCTCCCTCCTTCCATCACCCCGCCCCATTCTCCCTCCTTCCATCACCCCGCCCCATTCTCCCGCTTTCCATAACCCCGCCCCATTCTCCCTCCTTTCATCACCCGCCCCATTCTCGCTCCTTCCATCACCCCGCCCCATTCTCCCTCCTTCCATCACCCCGCCCCATTCTCCCACTTTCCATCGGCCCGCCCCATTCTCCCGCTTTCCATCACCCCGCCCCATTCTCCCGCTTTCCATCACCCTGCCCCATTCTCCCGCTTTCCATCAGCCCACCCCATTCTCCCGCTTTCCATCACCCCGCCCCATTCTCCCGCTTTCCATCACCCTGCCCCATTCTCCCTCCTTCCATCACCCCGCCTCATTCTACCTCCTTCCATCACCCCGCCCCATTCTCCCGCTTTCCATCACCTCGCCCCATTCTCCCGCTTTCCATCACCCCGCCCCATTCCTCTGCTTTCGATCACCCCACCCCATTCTCCCGCTTTCCATCACCCCGCCCCATTCACCCGCTTTCCATCACCCGCCCCATTCGCCCGCTTTCCATCACCCCGCCCCAGTCTCCCGCTTTCCATCACCCCGCCCCATTCTCCCGCTTTTCAACACCCCGCCCCATTCTCCCGCTTTCCATCACCTCGCCCCATTCTCCCTCCTTCCATCACTCCGCCCCATTCTCCCACTTTCCATCACCCCGCCCCATTCTCCCGCTTTCCATCACCCCGCCCCATTCTCCCGTTTTCCTTCACCCCGCCCCATTCACCCGCTTTCCATCACGCGCCCCATTCTCCCGCTTTCCATCACCCCGCCCCATTCTCCCGCTTTTCATCACCCCGCCCCATTCTCCCGCTTTCCATCACCCCGCCCCATTCTCCCGCTTTCCATCACTCCGCCCCATTCTCCCGCTTTCCCTCACCCCGCCCCATTCTCCCGCTTTCCATCACCCCGCCCCATTCTCCCTCCTTCCATCGCCCCGCCTCATTCTCCCGCTTCCCATCATCCCGCCCCATTCCCCCGCTTTCCATCACCTCTCCCTCCTTCCATCACCCTGCCCCATTCTCCCGCTTTCCATCACCCCACCCCATTCTCCCGCTTTCTATCACCCCACCCCATTCTCCCGCTTTCCATCACCCCGCCCCATTGTCCCGCTTTCCATCACCCCGCCCCATTGTCCCGCTTTCCATCACCCCGCCCCATTCTCCCACTTTCCATCACCCCAGCCTATTCTCCCGCTTTCCATCTCCCCGCCCCATTCTCCCGCTTTCCATCACCCCGCTCCATTCTCCCGCTTTCCATCACCCCGCCCCATTCTCCCTCTTTCGATCGCCCCACCCCATTCTCCCTCTTTCAATCACCCCGCCCCATTCTCCCTCCTTCCATCACCCCGCCCCATTCTCCCTCCTTCCATCACCCCGCCCCATTCTCCCGCTTTTCATCACCCCGCCCCATTCTCCAGCTTTCCATCACCCCGCCCCAATCTCCCGCTTTCCATCACCCCGCCCCATTCTCCCGCTTTCCATCACCCCGCCCCAGTCTCCTGCTTTCCATCACCCTGCCCCATTCACCCGCTTTCCGTCACCCCGCCCCATTCTCCCGCTTTCCATCACCCCGCCCCATTCTCCCGCTTTCCATCACCCTGCCCCATTCTCCCGCTTTCCATCACCCCGCCCCATTCTCCCGCTTTCCATCACCCCGCCTCATTCTCCCGCTTCCCATCATCCCGCCCCATTCCCCCGCTTTCCATCACCTCTCCCTCCTTCCATCACCCCGCCCCATTCTCCCGCTTTCCATCACCCCGCCGCATTCTCCCGCTTTCCATCACCTCGCCCCATTCTCCCGCTTTCCATCACCCAGCCCCATTCTTCCGCTTTCCATCACCCCGCCCCATTCACCCGCTTTCCATCACCCCACCCCATTCACCCGCTTTCTATCACCCCGCCCCATTCTCCCGCTTTCCATCACCCCGCCCCATTCTCCCGCTTTCAATCACCCCGCCCCATTCTCCCGCTTTCCATCACCCCACCCCATTCTCCCGCTTTCCATCACCCCGTCCCATTCTCCCGCTTTCCATCACCCCGCCCCATTCTCCCGCTTTCCATCACCCCACCCCATTCTCCCGCTTCCCATCACCCCGCCCCATTCTCCCGCTTTCCATCACCCCGCCCCATTCTCCCTCCTTCCATCACCCCACCTCATTCTCCCTCCTTCCATCACCCCGCCCCATTCTCCCGCTTTCCATTACCCCGCCCCATTCTCCCGCTTTCCATCACCCCGCCCCATTCTCCCTCTTTCCATCACCCCGCCCCATTCTCCCGCTTTCCATAACCCCACCCCATTCTCCTGCTTTCCATCACCCCGCCCCATTCTCCTTCTTTCCATCACCCCGCCCCATTCTCCCTCCTTCCATCACCCCGCCCCATTCTCCCCTCTTCCATCACCCCACCTCATTCTCCCTCCTTCCATCACCCCGCCCCATTCTCCCGCTTTCCATCACCCCGCCCCATTCTCCCGCTTTCCATCACCCCGCCCCATTCTCCCGCTTTCCATCACCCTGCCCCATTCTCCCGCTTTCCATCACCCTGCCCCGTTCTCCAGCTTTCCATCACCCTGCCCCATTCTCCCGCTTTCCATCACCTTGCCCCATTCTCCCGCTATCCATCACCCCGCCCCATTCTCCCTCCTTCCATCACCCCGCCCCATTCTCCCTCCTTCCATCAACCCGCCCCATTCTCCCTCCTTCCATCACCCCGCCCCATTCTCCCTCCTTCCATTACCCCACCCCATTCTCCCGCTTTACATCAGCCCGCCCCATTCTCCCGCTTTCCATCACCCCGCCCCATTCTCCCGCTTTCCATCACCCCGCCCCATTCTCCCGCTTTCCATCACCTCGCCTTATTTTCCCGCTTTTTATCACCCCGCCCCATTCTCCCGCTTTCCATCACCCCGCCTGATTCTCCCTCCTTCCATCACCCCACACCATTCTCCCGCTTTCCATCACCCCGCCCCATTCTCTTGCTTTCCCCGCCCCATTCTCCTGCTTTCCATCACCCCTCCCCATTCTCCCGCTTTCCATCACCCCACCCCATTCTCCCGCTTTCCATCACCCCGCCCCATTCTCCCTCCTTCCATGACCCCGCCCCATTCACCCTCCTTCCATCACCCTGCCCAATTCTCCCGCTTTCCATCACCCCGCCCCATTCTCCCGCTATCCATCACCCCGCCCCATTCTCCCTCCTTCCATCACCACGCCCGATTCTCCCTCCTTCCATCACCCCGCCCCATTCTCCCTCCTTCCATCACCCCGCCCCATTCTCCCTCCTTCCATCACCGTGCCCCATTCTCCCGCTTTACATCAGCCTGCCCCATTCTCCCGCTTTCCATCACCCCGCCCCATTCTCCCGCTTTCCATCACCCCGCCCCATTCTCCCGATTTCCATCACCCCGCCCCATTCACCCGCTTTCTATCACCCCGCCCCATTCTCCCGCTTTCCATCACCCCGCCCCATTCTCCCGCTTTCCATCACCCCGCCCCATTCTCCCGCTTTCCATCACCCTGCCCCATTCTCCCGCTTTCCATCACCCCGCCTCATTCTCCCGCTTCCCATCATCCCGCCCCATTCCCCCGCTTTCCATCACCTCTCCCTCCTTCCATCACCCCGCCCCATTCTCCCGCTTTCTATCACCCGTCCCCATTCTCCCTCCTTCCATCACCCCGCCCCATTCTCCCACTTTCCATCACCCCGCCCCATTCTCCCGCTTTCCATCACCTCGCCCCATTCTCCCGCTTTTTATCACCCCGCCCCATTCTCCCGCTTTCCATCACCCCGCCCGATTCTCCCTCCTTCCATCACCCCACACAATTATCCCGCTTTCCATCACTTCGCCCCATTCTCCTGCTTTCCATCACCCCTCCCCATTCTCCCGCTTTCCATCACCCCGCCCCATTCTCCCGCTTTCCATCACCCCGCCCCATTCTCCCGCTTTCCATCACCCCGCCCCATTCTCCCGCTTTCCCTCACCCCGCCCCATTCTCCAGCTTTCCATCACCCCGCCCCATTCTCCCGCTTCCCATCAACCCGACCCATTCTCCCGCTTTCTATCACCCGTCCCCATTCTTCCTCCTTCCATCACCCCGCCCCATTCTCCTGCTTTCCATCACCCCGCCCCATTCTCCCGCTTTCCATCACCTTGCCCCATTCTCCCACTTTTTATCACCCCGCCCCATTCTCCCGCTTTCCATCGCCCCGCCCGATTCTCCCTCCTTCCATCACCCCACACCATTCTTCCGCATTCTATCACCCCGCCCCATTCTCCTGCTTTCCATCACCCCGCCCCATTCTCTTGCTTACTATCAACCCGCCCCATTCTCCCGCTTTCTATCATCCGTCCCCATTCTCCCTCCTTCCATCACCCCGCCCCATTCTCCCGCTTTCCATCACCCCGCCCCATTCTCCCCCTTTCCATCACCTCGCCCCATTCTCCTGCTTTTTATCACCCCACCCCATTCTTCCGCTTTCCATCACCCCGCCCCATTCTCCTGCTTTCCATCACCCCTCCCCATTCTCCCGCTTTCCATCACCCCGCCCCATTCTCCCGCTTTCCATCACCCCGCCCCATTCTCCCGCTTTCCATCACCCCGCCCCATTCTCCCGCTTTCCCTCACCCCGCCCCATTCTCCAGCTTTCCATCACCGCGCCCTATTCTGCCGCTTCCCATCAACCCGCCCCATTCTCCCGCTTTCTATCACCCGTCCCCATTCTATCTCCTTCCATCACCGCGCCCCATTCTCCCGCTTTCCATCACCCCGCCCCATTCTCCCGCTTTCCATCACCTCGCCCCATTCTCCCGCTTTTTATCACCCCGCCCCATTCTCCCGCTTTCCATCGCCCCGCCCCATTCTCCCTCTTTCCATCATCCCGCCCCATTCTCCCTCTTTCCATTACCCCGCCCCATTCTCCTGCTTTCCATCACCCCGCCCCATTCTCCCTCTTTCCATCACCCCGCCCCATTCTCCCGCTTTCTATCACCCCACCCCATTCTCCCGCTTTCCGTCACCCTGCCCCATTCTCCCTCTTTCCATCACCCCGCCCCATGCTCCCGCCTTTCATCACCCCACCCCATTCTCCCGCTTTCCATCACCCCGCCCAATTCTCCCTCTTTCCATCACCCCGCCCCATTCCCGCCTTCCATCACCCCGCCCCATTCTCCCTCTTTCCATCACCCCGCCCCATTCTCACGCTTTCCATCACCCCGCCCCATTTTCCCTCTTTCCATCACAACGCCCCATTCTCCCGCGTTCCATCACCCCGCCCCATTCTCCCTCTATCCATCACCCCGACCAATTCTCCCACTTTCCATCACCCCGTCCCATTCTCCCGTTTTCCATCACCCCGCCCCATTCTCTCGCTTTCCATCACCCCGCCTTTTTCTCCCGCTTTCCATCACCCCGCCCCATCCTAACGATTTCCATCACCCCGCCCCATTCTCCCGCTTTCCATCACCCCGCCCCATTCTCCCACTTTCCATCACCCCGCCCCATTCTCCCGCTTTCCAACACCCCGACCCATTCTCCCGCTTTCCTTCACCCCGCACCATTCTCCCTCTTTCCATCACCCCGCCCCATTCTCCCTCTTTCCATCACCCCGCCCCATTCTCCCGCTTTCCATCACCCCGCGCCATTTTCCCTCTTTCCATCACCCCGCCCCATTCTCCCGCTTTCCATCACCCTGCCCCATTCTCCCGCTTTCCATCACCCCGCTCCATTGTCCCGCTTTCCATCACCCCGCCCAATTCTCCCTCTTTCCATCACCCCTTCCCATTCTCCCTCTTTCCATCACCCCGCCCCATTCTCCCGCTTTCCATCACCCCGCCCCATTCTCCCTCTTTCCATCACCCCGCCCCATTCTCCCTCTTTCCATTACCCCGCCCCATTCTCCTGCTTTCCATCACCCCGCCCCATTCTCCCTCTTTCCATCACCCCGCCCCATTCTCCCGCTTTCTATCACCCCACCCCATTCTCCCGCTTTCCATCACCCCGTCCCGTTCTCCCTCTTTCCATCACCCCGCCCCATTCTCCCGCCTTTCATCACCCCGCCCCATTCTCCCGCATTCCATCACCCCGCCCCATTCTCCCGCCTTCCATCACCCTGCCCCATTCTCCCTCTTTCCATCACCCCGCCCCATTCTCACGCTTTCCATCACCCCGCCCCATTCTCCCTCTTTCCATCACCCGCCCCATTCTCCCGCTTTCCATCACCCCGCCCCATTCTCCCTCTATCCATCACCCCTCCCAATTCTCCCACTTTCCATCACCCCGTCCCATTCTCCCGTTTTCCATCACCCCGCCCCATTCTCTCGCTTTCCATCACCCCGCCTTATTCTCCCACTTTCCATCACCCCGCCCCATTCTCCCGATTTCCATCACCCCGCCCCATTCTCCCGCTTTCCATCACCTCGCCCCATTCTCCCGCTTTCCATCACCCCGCCCCATTCTCCCGCTTTCCAACACCTCGCCCCATTCTCCCGCTTTCCATCACCCCACCCCATTCTCACTCTTTCCATCACCCCGCCCCATTCTCCCTCTTTTCATCACCCCGCCCCATTCTCCCGCTTTCCATCACCCCGCCCCATTCTCCCTCTTTCCATAACCCCGCCCCATTCTCCCGCTTTCCATCACCCCGCCCCATTCTCCCTCTTTCCATCACCCCGCCCCATTCTCCCTCTTTCCATCACCCCGCCCCATTCTCCCGCTTTCCATCACCCCGCCCCATTCTCCCTCTTTCCATAACCCCGCCCCATTCTCCCGCTTTCCATCACCCCGCCCCATTCTCCCTCTTTCCATCACCCCGCCCCGTTCTCCCGCTTTCCATCGCCCCGCCCCATTCTCCCGCTTGCCATCACCCCGCCCCATTCTCCTGCTTTCCATCACCCCGCCCCATTCTCCCTCTTTCCATCACCCCGCCCCATTCTCCCGCTTTCCATCACCCCGCCCCATTCTACCGCTTTCCATCATCCCGCTCCATTGTCCCGCTTTCCATCACCCCGCCCAATTCTCCCTCTTTCCATCACCCCTCCCCATTCTCCCTTTTTCCATAACCCCGCCCCATTCTCCCGCTTTCCATCACCCCGCCCCATTCTACCGCTTTCCATCACCCCGCCCCATTCTCCCTCTTTCCATCACCCCGCCCCATTCTCCCGCTTTCCATCACCCCGCCCCATTCTACCGCTTTCCATCATCCCGCTCCATTGTCCCGCTTTCCATCACCCCGCCCAATTCTCCCTCTTTCCATCACCCCTCCCCATTCTCCCTTTTTCCATAACCCCGCCCCATTCTCCCGCTTTCCATCACCCCGCCCCATGCTACCGCTTTCCATCACCCCGCCCCATTCTCCCTCTTTCCATCACCCCGCCCCATTCTCCCGCTTTCCATCACCCCGCCCCATTCTCCCTCTATCCATCACCCCGCCCAATTCTCCCACTTTCCATCACCCCGTCCCATTCTCCCGTTTTCCATCACCCCGCCTTATTCTCCCGCTTTCCATCACCCTGCCCCATTCTCCCGATTTCCATCACCCCGCCCCATTCTCCCGCTTTCCATCACCTCGCCCCATTCTCCCGCTTTCCATCACCCCGCCCCATTCTCCCGCTTTCCAACACCTCGCCCCATTCTCCCGCTTTCCATCACCCCGCCCCATTCTCACTCTTTCCATCACCCCGCCCCATTCTCCCTCTTTCCATCACCCCGCCCCATTCTCCCGCTTTCCATCACCCCGCCCCATTCTCCCTCTTTCCATAACCTCGTCCCATTCTCCCGCTTTCCATCACCCCGCCCCATTCTCCCTCTTTCTATCACCCCACCCCATTCTCCCTCTTTCCATCACCCCGCCCCATTCTCCCGCTTTCCATCACCCCGCCCCATTCTCCCTCTTTCCATAACCCCGCCCCATTCTCCCGCTTTCCATCACCCCGCCCCATTCCCCCTCTTTCCATCACCCCGCCCCGTTCTCCCGCTTTCCATCACCCCGCCCCATTCTCCCGCTTTCCATCACCCCGCCCCGCTTTCCATCACCCCGCCCCATTCTCCCTCTTTCCATCACCCCGCCCCATTCTCCCGCTTTCCATCACCCCGCCCCATTCTACCTCTTTCCATCATCCCGCTCCATTGTCCCGCTTTCCATCACCCCGCCCAATTCTCCCTCTTTCCATCACCCCTCCCCATTCTCCCTTTTTCCATAACCCCGCCCCATTCTCCCGCTTTCCATCACCCCGCCCCATTTTCCCGCTTTCCATCACCCCGCCCCATTCTCCCTCTTTCCATCACCCCGCCCCATTCTCCCTCTTTCCTTCACCCCGCCCCATTCTCCCGCTTTCCATCACCCCGCCCCATTCTCCCTCTTTCCATAACCCCGCCCCATTCACCCGCTTTCCATCACCTCGCCCCATTCTCCCTCTTTCCATCACCCCGCCCCGTTCTCCCGCTTTCCATCACCCCGCCCCATTCTCCCGCTTTCTACACCCCGCCCCATTCTCCTGCTTTCCATCACCCTGCCCCATTCTCCCTCTTTCCATCACCCCGCCCCATTCTCCCGCTTTCCATCACCCTGCCCCATTCTCCCGCTTTCCATCACCCCGCCCCATTCTCCCGCTTTCCATCACCCCATCCCATTATCCCTCTTTACATCACCCCGCCCCATTCTCCCGCTTTCCATCACCCCGCCCCATTCTTCCTCTTTCCATCTCCCCGCCCCATTCTCCCTCTTTCCATCAGCCCGCCCCATTCTCCCTCTTTCCATCACCCCGCCCCATTCTCCCTCTTTCCATCACCGAGCCCCTTTCTCCCTCTTTCCATCACCCCGCCCCATTCTCCCTCTTTCCATCACCCCGCCCCATTCTCTTGATTTCCGTCACCCCGCCCCATTCTCCCTCTTTCCATCACCCCGCCCCATTCTCCCTCTTTCCATCACCCCGACCCATTCTCCCGCTTTCCATCACCCCGCCCCATTCTCCCTCTTTCCATCACCCCGCCCCATTCTCCCGCTTTCCATCACCCCGCCCCATTCTCCCTCTTTCCATCACCCCGCCCCGTTCTCTCGCTTTCCATCACCCCGCCTTATTCTCCCGCTTTCCATCACCCTGCCCCATTCTCCCGATTTCCATCACCCCGCCCCATTCTCCCGCTTTCCATCACCTCGCCCCATTCTCCCGCTTTCCATCACCCCGCCCCATTCTCCCGCTTTCCAACACCTCGCCCCATTCTCCCGCTTTCCATCACCCCGCCCCATTCTCACTCTTTCCATCACCCCGCCCCATTCTCCCTCTTTCCATCACCCCGCCCCATTCTCCCGCTTTCCATCACCCCGCCCCATTCTCCCTCTTTCCATAACCTCGCCCCATTCTCCCGCTTTCCATCACCCCGCCCCATTCTCCCTCTTTCTATCACCCCGCCCCATTCTCCCTCTTTCCATCACCCTGCCCCATTCTCCCGCTTTCCGTCACCCCGCCCCATTCTCCCGCTTTCCATAACCCCGCCCCATTCTCCCGCTTTCCATCACCCCGCCCCATTCTCCCTCTTTCCATCACCCCGCCCCGTTCTCCCGCTTTCCATCACCCCGCCCCGCTTTCCATCACCCCGCCCCATTCTCCCTCTTTCCATCACCCCGCCCCATTCTCCAGCTTTCCATCACCCCGCCCCATTCTACCTCTTTCCATCATCCCGCTCCATTGTCCCGCTTTCAATCACCCCCCCCAATTCTCCCTCTTTCCATCACCCGTCCCCATTCTCCCTTTTTCCATAACCCCTCCCCATTCTCCCGCTTTCCATCACCCCGCCCCATTTTCCCGCTTTCCATCATCCCGCCCCATTCTCCCTCTTTCCATCACCCCGCCCCATTCTCCCTCTTTCCTTCACCCCGCCCCATTCTCCTGCTTTCCATCACCCCGCCCCATTCTCCCTCTTTCCATCACCCCGCCCCATTCTCCCGCTTTCCATCACCCCGCCCCATTCTCCCGCTTTCCATCACCTCGGCCCATTCTCCTGCTTTCCATCACCCCGTCCCATTCTTCCTCTTTCCATCACCCCGCCCCATTCTCCCGCTTTCCATCACCCCGCCCCATTCTTCCTCTTTCCATCTCCCCGCCCCATTCTCCCTCTTTCCATCACCCCGCCCCATTCTCCCTCTTTCCATCACCCCGCCCCATTCTCCCGATTTCCGTCACCCCGCCCCATTCTTCCTCTTTCCATCACCCCGCCCCATTCTTCCTCTTTCCATCTCCCCGCCCCATTCTCCCTCTTTCCATCACCCCGCCCCATTCTCTCTCTTTCCATCACCCCGCCCCATTCTCCCTCTTTCCATCACCCCGCCCCATTCTCCCGATTTCCGTCACCCCGCCCCATTCTCCCTCTTTCCATCACCCCACCCCATTCTCCCGATTTCCGTCATCCTGCCCCGTTCTCCCTCTTTCCATCACCCCGCCCCATTCTCCCTCTTTCCATCACCCCGACACATTCTCCCGCTTTCCATCACCCCGCCCCATTCTCCCGCTTTCCATCACCCCGCCCCATTCTTCCTCTTTCCATCTCCCCGCCCCATTCTCCCTCTTTCGGTCACCCCGCCCCATTCTCCCTCTTTCCATCACCCCGCCCCATTCTCCCTCTTTCCATCACCCCGCCCCATTCTCCCGATTTCCGTCACCCCGCCCCATTCTCCCTCTTTCCATCACCCCGCCCCATTCTCCCTCTTTCCATCACCCCGACCCATTCTCCCGCTTTCCATCACCCCGCCCCATTCTCCCTCTTTCCATCACCCCGCCCCATTCTCCCGATTTCCGTCACCCCGCCCCATTCTCCCTCTTTCCATCACCCCGCCCCATTCTCCCTTTTTCCATCACCCCGCCCCATTCTCACGCTTTCCATCACCCCGCCCCATTCTCCCTCTTTCCATCACCCCGCCCCATTCTCCCGCTTTCCATCACCCCGCCCCATTCTCCCTCTATCCATCACCCCGCCCCATTCTCCCACTTTCCATCACCCCACCCCATTCTCTCGCTTTCCATCACCCCGCCTTATTCTCCCGCTTTCCATCACCCCGCCCCATTCTCCCGATTTCCATCACCACGCCCCATTCTCCCGCTTTCCATCACCTCGCCCCATTCTCTCGCTTTCCATCACCCCACCCCATTCTCCCGCTTTCCAACACCCCGCCCCATTCTCCCGCTTTCCATCACCCCCCCCCATTCTCACTCTTTCCATCACCCTGCCCCATTCTCCCTCTTTCGATCACCCCGCCCCATTCTTCCGCTTTCCATCACCCCGCCCCATTCTCCCTCTTTCCATAACCCCGCCCCATACTCCCGCTTTCCATCACCCCGCCCCATTCTCCCTCTTTCCATCACCCCGCCCCATTCTCCCGCTTTCCATCACCCCGCCCCAATCTCCCTCTTTCAATCACCCCGCCCCATTCTCCCGCTTTCCATCACCCCGCCCCATTCTCCCGCTTTCCATCACCCCGCCCCATTCTCCCTCTTTCCATCACCCCGCCCCGTTCTCCCGCTTTCCATCACCCCGCCCCATTCTCCCGCTTTCCATCACCCCGCCCCATTCTCCCTCTTTCCTTCACCCCGCCCCGTTCTCCCGCTTTCCATCACCCCGCCCCATTCTCCCGCTTTCCATCACCCCGCCCCATTCTCCCGCTTTCCATCACCCCGCCCCATTCTTCCTCTTTCCATCACCCCGCCCCATTCTCCCGCTTTCCATCACCCCGCCCCATTCTCCCGCTTTCCATCACCCCGCCCCATTCTCCCGCTTTCCATCACCCCGTCCCATTCTCCCTCTTTCCATCACCCCGCCCCATTCGCCAGCTTTCCATCACCCCGCCCCATTCTTCCTCTTTCCATCTCCCCGCCCCATTCTCCCTCTTTCCATCACCCCGCCCCATTCTCCCGCATTCCATCACCCCGCCCCATTCTCCCTCTTTCCATCACCCCGCTCCATTCTCCCGCTTTCTATCACCCCGCCCAATTCTCCCTCTTTCCATCACCCCTCCCTATTCTCCCTCTTTCCATCACCCCGCTCCATTCTCCCGCTTTCCATCACCCCGCCCCATTCTCCCTCTTTCCATCACCCCGCCCCATTCTCCCTCTTTCCATCACCCCGCCCCATTCTCCCGCTTTCCATCACCCCGCCCCATTCTCCCTCTTTAGATCACCCCGCCCCATTCTCCCGCTTTCCATCACCCCGCCCCATTCTCCCTCTTTCCATCACCCCGCTCCATTCTCCCGCTTTCCATCACCCCGCCCAATTCTCCCTCTTTCCATCACCCCTCCTCATTCTCCCTCTTTCCATCACCCCGCCCCATTCTCCCGCTTTCCACCACCCCGCTCCATTCTCCCGCTTTCCATCACCCCTGCCCCATTCTCCCGCTTTCCATCACCCCACCCCATTCTCACTCTTTCCATCACCTCTCCCCATTCTCCCTCTTTCCATCACCCCGCCCTATTCTCCTGCTTTCTATCACCCCGCCCCATTCTCCCTCTTTCCATCACCCCGCCCCATTCTCCCGCCTTCCATCACCCCGCCCCATTCTCCATCTTTCCATCACCCTGCCCAATTCTCCCCCTTTCCATCACCCCGCCCCATTCTCCCGCCTTCCATCACCCCGCCCCATTCTCCCTCTTTCCATCACCCCGCCCCATTCTCCCGCTTTCCATCACCCCGCCCCATTTTCCCGATTTCCATCACCCCGCCCCATTCTCCCGCTTTCCATCACCCCGCCCCATTCTCCCGCTTTCCATCACCCCGCCCCATTCTCCCGCTTTCCATCACCCCGCCCCATTCTCCCGCTTTCCATCACCCAGCCCCATTCTCCCGCTTTCCATCACCCCGCCCCATTCTCCCGCTTTCCATCACCCCGCCCCATTCTCCCTCTTTCCATCACCCCGCCCCATTCTCCCGCATTCCATCACCCCGCCCCATTTTCCCTCGTTCCATCACCCCGCTCCATTCTCCCGCTTTCCATCACCCCGCCCAATTCTCCCGCTTTCCATCACCCCTCCCCATTCTTCCTCTTTCCATCACCCCGCCCCATTCTCCCGCTTTCCATCACCCTGCCCCATTCTCCCTCTTTCCATCACCCCGCCCCATTCTCCCGCATTCCATCACCCCGCCCCATTTTCCCTCGTTCCATCACCCCGCTCCATTCTCCCGCTTTCCATCACCCCGCCCAATTCTCCCTCTTTCCATCACCCCTCCCCATTCTCCCTCTTTCCATCACCCCGCCCCATTCTCCCGCTTTCCATCACCCCGCCCCATTCTCCCGCCTTCCATCACCCCGCCCCATTCTCCCTCTTTCCATCACCCCGCCCCATTCTCCCGCTTTCCATCACCCCGCCCCATTTTCCCGATTTCCATCACCCCGCCCCATTCTCCCGCTTTCCATCACCCCGCCCCATTCTCCCGCTTTCCATCACCCCGCCCCATTCTCCCGCTTTCCATCACCCCGCCCCATTCTCCCGCTTTCCATCACCCAGCCCCATTCTCCCGCTTTCCATCACCCCGCCCCATTCTCCCCCCCTTCCATCACCCCGCCCCATTCTCCCTCTTTCCATCACCCCGCCCCATTCTCCCGCATTCCATCACCCCGCCCCATTCTCCCTCGTTCCATCACCCCGCTCCATTCTCCCGCTTTCCATCACCCCGCCCAATTCTCCCTCTTTCCATCACCCCTCCCCATTCTCCCTCTTTCCATCACCCCGCCCCATTCTCCCGCTTTCCATCACCCCGCCCCATTCTCCCTCTTTCCATCACCCCGCCCCATTCTCCCTCTTTCCATCACCCCGCCCCATTCTCCCGCTTTCCATCACCCCGCCCCATTCTCCCTCTTTCCATCACCCCGCCCCATTCTCCCGCTTTCCATCACCCCGCCCCATTCTCCCTCTTTCCATCACCCCGCTCCATTCTCCCGCTTTCCATCACCCCGCCCAATTCTCCCTCTTTCCATCACCCCTCCTCATTCTCCCTCTTTCCATCACCCCGCCCCATTCTCCCGCTTTCCACCACCCCGCTCCATTCTCCCGCTTTCCATCACCCTGCCCAATTCTCCCGCTTTCCATCACCCCGCCCCTAGAGATAGGTGCCTCTAGAGATTGGTACCCCTAAAGAGACGCGCCCATGGAGATAGGTGCCCATATACATAGGTGCCCCTAGAGATAGGCGCCCCTAGAGATAGGCGCCCATAGAAATAGGAGCCCCTAGAGATAGGCGCCCATAGAGATAGGCGCCCATAGAGACAGGCGCCCCTAGAGATAGGCGCCCCTAGAGATAGGCGCCCATAGAGATAGGCGCCCAAAGAGATAGGTGCTCATAGAGATAGGCGCCCATAGAGACAGGCGCCCCTAGAGATAGGCGCCCATAGAGATAGGCGCCCATAGAGACAGGCGCCCCTAGAGATAGGCGCCCCTAGAGATAGGCGCCCATAGAGATTGGCGCCCATAGAGATAGGCGCCCCTAGAGATAGGCGCCCCCAGAGATAGGCGCCCCTAGAGATAGGCGCCAATAGAGATAGGCGCCCCTAGAGATAGGCGCCCATAGAGAAAGGCGCCACTAGAGATAGGCGCCCCTAGAGATAGGCGCCCATAGAGATAGGCGCCCGTAGAGATAGGCGCCCATAGAGATAGGCGCCCATAGAGATAGGCGCCCATAAAGATAGGCGCCCCTAGAGATAGGCGCCCCTAGAGATAGGCGCCCATAGAGATAGGCGCCCAAAGAGATAGGCGCCCATAGAGATAGGCGCCCCTAGAGATAGGCGCCCATAGAGATATGCGCCCCTAGAGATAGCCGCCTCTAGAGATAGGCAACCCTAGAGATAGGCGCCCCTAGAGATAGGCGCCCCTGGAGATAGGCGCCACTAGAGATAGGTGCCCCTAGAGGTAGGCGCCCCTAGAGATGGGCGCCCATAGAGATAGGCGCCTCTAGAGATTGGCGCCCCTAAAGAGAGGCGCCCATAGAGATAGGCGCCTATAGAGATATGTGCCCCTAGAGATAGGCGCCCCTAGAGATAGACGCCCATAGAGATAGACGCCCCTAGAGATAGGCGCCCATAGAGATTGGCGCCCAAAGAGATAGGCGCCTCTAGAGATTGGCGCCCCTAAAGAGAGGCGCCCATAGAGATAGGCGCACATAGAGATAAGCGCCCCTAGAGATAGGCGCCTATAGAGATAGGCGCCGCTAAAAATAGGCGCCCATAGAGATAGGCGCCCCTAGAGATAGGCGCCCATAGAGATAGGCGCCCATAGAGATAGGCGCCCCTAGAGATAGGCGCCCCTAGAGATAGGCGCCCATAGAGATAGTCGCCCAAAGAGATAGGCACCCATAGAGATAGGCGCCCATAGAGATAGGCGCCCATAGAGATAGGCGCCCATAGAGATAGGCGCCCCTAGAGATAGGTGCCCATAGAGAAAGGCGCCACTAGAGATAGGCGCCCCTAGAGATAGGCGCCGCTAAAGATAGGCGCCCATAGAGATAGGCGCCCCTAGAGATAGGCGCCCATAGAGATAGGCGCCCATAGAGATAGGCGCCCCTAGAGATAGGTGCCCCTAGAGATAGGCGCCCATAGAGATAGGCGCCCAAAGAGATAGGCACCCATAGAGATAGGCGCCCATAGAGATAGGCGCCCATAGAGATAGGCGCCCATAGAGATAGGCGCCCCTAGAGATAGGCGCCCATAGAGATAGGCGCCCAAAGAGATAGGCACCCATAGGGATAGGCGCCCATAGAGATAGGCGCCCATAGAGATAGGCGCCCAAAGAGATAGGCACCCATAGGGATAGGCGCCCATAGAGATAGGCGCCCATAGAGATAGGCGCACATAGAGATAGGCGCCCCTAGACATAGGCGCCCATAGAGATAGGCGCCACTAGAGATAGGCGCCCCTAGAGATAGGCGCCTATAGAGATAGGCGCCGCTAAAGATAGGCGCCCATAGAGATAGGCGCCCCTAGAGATAGGCGCCCATAGAGATAGGCGCCCATAGAGATAGGCGCCCCTAGAGATAGGCACCCCTAGAGATAGGCGCCCATAGAGATAGGCGCCCAAAGAGATAGGCACCCATAGAGATAGGCGCCCATAGAGATTGGCGCCCATAGAGATAGGCGCCCCTAGAGATAGGCGCCCATAGAGATAGGCGCCACTAGAGATAGGTGCCCCTAGAGATAGGCGCCCATAGAGATAGGCGCCCGTAGAGATAGGCGCCCATAGAGATAGGCGCCCATAGAGATAGGCGCCCCTAGAGATAGGCACCCCTAGAGATAGGCGCCCATAGAGATAGGCGCCCAAAGAGATAGGCACCCATAGAGATAGGCGCCCATAGAGATAGGCGCCCATATAGATAGGCGCCAATAGAGATAGGCGCCCCTAGAGATAGGCGCCCATAGAGAAAGGCGCCACTAGAGATAGGCGCCCCTAGAGATAGGCGCCCATAGAGATAGGCGCCCGTAGAGATAGGCGCCCATAGAGATAGGCGCCCATAGAGATAGGCGCCCATAGAGATCGGCGCCCCTAGTGATAGGCGCCCCTAGAGATAGGCGCCCATAGAGATAGGCGCCCAAAGAGATAGGCGCCCATAGAGATAGGCGCCCCTAGAGATAGGCGCCCCTAGAGATAGGCGCCCATAGAGATAGGCGCCCGTAGAGATAGGCGCCCATAGAGATAGGCGCCCATAGAGATAGGCGCCCATAGAGATCGGCGCCCCTAGTGATAGGCGCCCCTAGAGATAGGCGCCCATAGAGATAGGCGCCCAAAGAGATAGGCGCCCATAGAGATAGGCGCCCCTAGAGATAGGCGCCCATAGAGATAGGCGCCCCTAGAGATAGCCGCCCCTAGAGATAAGCAACCCTAGAGATAGGCGCCCCTAGAGATAGGCGCCCCTGGAGATAGGCGCCACTAGAGATAGGTGCCCCTAGAGGTAGGCGCCCCTAGAGATGGGCGCCCATAGAGATAGGCGCCTCTAGAGATTGGCGCCCCTAAAGAGAGGCGCCCATAGAGATAGGCGCCTATAGAGATATGTGCCCCTAGAGATAGGCGCCCCTAGAGATAGACGCCCATAGAGATAGACGCCCCTAGAGATAGGCGCCCATAGAGATAGGCGCCCATAGAGATAGGCGCCCCTAGAGATAGGCGCCCATAGAGATAGGCGCCCATAGAGACTGGCGCCCAAAGAGATAGGCGCCCCTAGAGATTGGCGCCCCTAAAGAGAGGCGCCCATAGAGATAGGCGCACATAGAGATAAGCGCCCCTAGAGATAGGCGCCTGTAGAGATAGGCGCCGCTAAAGATAGGCGCCCATAGAGATAGGCGCCCCTAGAGATAGGCGCCCATAGAGATAGGCGCCCATAGAGATAGGCGCCCCTAGAGATAGGCGCCCCTAGAGATAGGCGCCCATAGAGATAGGCGCCCAAAGAGATAGGCACCCATAGAGATAGGCGCCCATAGAGATAGGAGCCCATAGAGATAGGCGCCCATAGAGATAGGCGCCCCTAGAGATAGGCGCCCATAGAGATAGGCGCCCAAAGAGATAGGCACCCATAGCGATAGGCGCCCATAGAGATAGGCGCCCATAGAGATAGGCGCCCAAAGAGATAGGCACCCATAGGGATAGGCGCCCATAGAGATAGGCGCCCATAGAGATAGGCGCACATAGAGATAGGCGCCCCTAGACATAGGCGCCCATAGAGATAGGCGCCACTAGAGATAGGCGCCCCTAGAGATAGGCGCCTAAAGAGATAGGCGCCGCTAAAGATAGGCGCCCATAGAGATAGGCGCCCCTAGAGATAGGCGCCCATAGAGATAGGCGCCCATAGAGATAGGCGCCCCTAGAGATAGGCACCCCTAGAGATAGGCGCCCATAGAGATAGGCGCCCAAAGAGATAGGCACCCATAGAGATAGGCGCCCATAGAGATAGGCGCCCATAGAGATAGGCGCCCCTAGAGATAGGCGCCCATAGAGATAGGCGCCACTAGAGATAGGTGCCCCTAGAGATAGGCGCCAATAGAGATAGGCGCCCGTAGAGATAGGCGCCCATAGAGATAGGCGCCCATAGAGATAGGCGCCCCTAGAGATAGGCACCCCTAGAGATAGGCGCCCATAGAGATAGGCGCCCAAAGAGATAGGCACCCATAGAGATAGGCGCCCATAGAGATAGGCGCCCATATAGATAGGCGCCAATAGAGATAGGCGCCCATAGAGACAGGCGCACATAGAGATAAGCGCCCCTAGAGATAGGCGCCTATAGAGATAGGCGCCGCTAAAGATAGGCGCCCATAGAGATAGGGGCCCCTAGAGATAGGCGCCCATAGAGATAGGCGCCCATAGAGATAGGCGCCCCTAGAGATAGGCGCCCCTAGAGATAGGCGCCCATAGAGATAGGCGCCCAAAGAGATAGGCACCCATAGAGATAGGCGCCCATAGAGATAGGCGCCCATAGAGATAGGCGCCCATAGAGATAGGCGCTTCTAGAGATAGGTGCCTATAGAGATAGGCGCCACTAGAGATAGGCGCCCCTAGAGATAGGCGCCGCTAAAGATAGGCGCCCATAGAGATAGGCGCCCCTAGAGATAGGCGCCCATAGAGATAGGCGCCCAGAGAGATAGGCGCCCCTAGAGATAGGCGCCCCTAGAGATAGGCGCCCATAGAGATAGGCGCCCAAAGAGATAGGCACCCATAGAGATAGGCGCCCATAGAGATAGGCGCCCATAGAGATAGGCGCCCATAGAGATAGGCACCCCTAGAGATAGGCGCCCATAGAGATAGGCGCCCAAAGAGATAGGCACCCATAGGGATAGGCGCCCATAGAGATAGGCGCCCATAGAGATAGGCGCCCAAAGAGATAGGCACCCATAGGGATAGGCGCCCATAGAGATAGGCGCCCATAGAGATAGGCGCACATAGAGATAGGCGCCCCTAGAGATAGGCGCCCATAGAGATAGGCGCCACTAGAGATAGGCGCCCCTAGAGATAGGCGCCTATAGAGTTAGGCGCCGCTAAAGATAGGCGCCCATAGAGATAGGCGCCCCTAGAGATAGGCACCCATAGAGATAGGCGCCCATAGAGATAGGCGCCCCTAGAGATAGGCACCCCTAGAGATAGGCGCCCATAGAGATAGGCGCCCAAAGAGATAGGCAGCCATAGAGATAGGCGCCCATAGAGATAGGCGCCCATAGAGATAGGCGCCCATAGAGATAGGCGCCCCTAGAGATAGGCGCCCATAGAGATAGGCGCCACTAGAGATAGGTGCCCCTAGAGATAGGCGCCCATAGAGATAGGCGCCCGTAGAGATAGGCGCCCATAGAGATAGGCGCCCATAGAGATAGGCGCCCATAAAGATAGGCGCCCCTAGAGATAGGCGCCCATAGAGATAGGCACCCCTAGAGATAGCCGCCCCTAGAGATAGGCACCCCTAGAGATAGGCGCCACTAGAGATAGGCGCCCCTGGAGATAGGCGCCACTAGAGATAGGTGCCCCTAGAGGTAGGCGCCCCTAGAGATGGGCGCCCATAGAGATAGGCGCCTCTAGAGATTGGCGCCCCTAAAGAGAGGCGCCCATAGAGATAGGCGCCTATAGAGATATGTGCCCCTAGAGATAGGCGCCCCTAGAGATAGACGCCCATAGAGATAGGCGCCCCTAGAGATAGGCGCCCATAGAGATAGGCGCCCATAGAAAAAGGCGCCCCTAGAGATAGGCGCACATAGAGATAGGCGCCCATAGAGATTGGCGCCCAAAGAGATAGGCGCCTCTAGAGATTGGCGCCCCTAAAGAGACGCACCCATAGAGATAGGCGCACATAGAGATAAGCGCCCCTAGAGATAGGCGCCTATAGAGATAGGCGCCCCTAAAGATAGGCGCCCATAGAGATAGGCGCCCCTAGAGATAGGCGCCCATAGAGATAGGCGCCCATAGAGATAGGCGCCCCTAGAGATAGGCGCCCCTAGAGATAGGCGCCCATAGAGATAGGCGCCCAAAGAGATAGGCACCCATAGAGATAGGCGCCCATAGAGATAGGCGCCCATAGAGATAGGCGCCCATAGAGATAGGCGCCCCTAGAGATAGGCGCCCATAGAGATAGGCGCCACAAGAGATAGGCGCCCCTAGAGATAGGCGCCCATAGAGATAGGCGCCCGTAGAGATAGGCGCCCATAGAGATATGCGCCCATAGAGATAGGCGCCCATAGAGATAGGCGCCCCTAGAGATAGGCGCCCCTAGAGATAGGCGCCCATAGAGATAGGCGCCGAAAGAGATAGGCGCCCATAGAGATAGGCGCCCCTAGAGATAGGCGCCCATAGAGATAGGCGCCCCTAGAGATAGCCGCCCCTAGAGATAGGCATCCGTAGAGATAGGCGCCCCTAGAGATAGGCGCCCCTGGAGATAGGCGCCACTAGAGATAGGTGCCCCTGGGGGTAGGCGCCCCTAGAGATGGGCGCCCATAGAGATAGGCGCCTCTAGAAATTGGCACCCCTAAAGAGAGGCGCCCATAGAGATAGGCGCCTATAGAGATATGTGCCCCTAGAGATAGGCGCCCCTAGAGATAGACGCCCATAGAGATAGGCGCCCCTAGAGATAGGCGCCCATAGAGATAGGCGCCACTAGAGATAGGCGCCCCTAGAGATAGGCGCCCATAGAGATAGGCGCCCGTAGAGATAGGCGCCCATAGAGATAGGCGCCCATAGAGATAGGCGCCCATAGAGATAGGCGCCCCTAGAGATAGGCGCCCATAGAGATAGGCGCCCCTAGAGATAGCCGCCCATAGAGATAGGCACCCCTAGAGATAGGCGCCCCTAGAGATAGGCGCCCCTGGAGATAGGCGCCACTAGAGATAGGTGCCCCTAGAGGTAGGCGCCCCTAGAGATGGGCGCCTATAGAGATAGGCGCCTCTAGAGATTGGCGCCCCTAAAGAGAGGCGCCCATAGAGATAGGCGCCTATAGAGATATGTGCCCCTAGAGATAGGCGCCCCTAGAGATAGACGCCCATAGAGATAGGCGCCCCTAGAGATAGGCGCCCATAGAGATAGGCGCCCATAGAGATAGGCGCCCCTAGAGATAGGCGCACATAGAGATAGGCGCCCATAGAGATTGGCGCCCAAAGAGATAGGCGCCTCTAGAGATTGGCGCCCCTAAAGAGAGGCGCCCATAGAGATAGGCGCACATAGAGATAAGCGCCCCTAGAGATAGGCGCCTATAGAGATAGGCGCCGCTAAAGATAGGCGCCCATAGAGATAGGCGCCCCTAGAGATAGGCGCACATAGAGATAGGCGCCCATAGAGATAGGCGCCCATAGGGATAGGCGCCCCTAGAGATAGGCGCCCATAGAGATAGGCGCCCAAAGAGATAGGCACCCATAGATATAGGCGCCCATAGAGATAGGCGCCCATAGAGATAGGCGCCCATAGAGATAGGCGCCCCTAGAGATAGGTGCCCATAGAGATAGGCGCCACTAGAGATAGGCGCCCCTAGAGATGGCGCCGCTAAAGATAGGCGCCCCTAGAGATAGGCGCCCCTAGAGATAGGCGCCACTAGAGATAGGCGCCCCTAGAGATAGGCGCCCATAGAGATAGGCGCCCGTAGAGATAGGCGCCCATAGAGATAGGCGCCCATAGAGATAGGCGCCCATAAAGATAGGCGCCCCTAGAGATAGGCGCCCATAGAGATAGGCACCCCTAGAGATAGCCGCCCCTAGAGATAGGCACCCCTAGAGATAGGCGCCCCTAGAGATAGGCGCCCCTGGAGATAGGCGCCACTAGAGATAGGTGCCCCTAGAGGTAGGCGCCCCTAGAGATGGGCGCCCATAGAGATAGGCGCCTCTAGAGATTGGCGCCCCTAGAGATAGGCGCCCATAGAGATAGGCGCCCATAGAGATAGGCGCCCATAGAGATAGGCGCCCCTTGAGATAGGCGCCCATAGAGATAGGCGCCACAAGAGATAGGCGCCCCTAGAGATAGGCGCCCATAGAGATAGGCGCCCGTAGAGATAGGGGCCCATAGAGATATGCGCCCATAGAGATAGGCGCCCATAGAGATAGGCGCCCCTAGAGATAGGCGCCCCTAGAGATAGGCGCCCATAGAGATAGGCGCCCAAAGAGATAGGCGCCCATAGAGATAGGCGCCCCTAGAGATAGGCGCCCATAGAGATAGGCGCCCCTAGAGATAGCCGCCCCTAGAGATAGGCATCCCTAGAGATAGGCGCCCCTAGAGATAGGCGCCCCTGGAGATAGGCGCCACTAGAGATAGGTGCCCCTTGAGGTAGGCGCCCCTAGAGATGGGCGCCCATAGAGATAGGCGCCTCTAGAAATTGGCACCCCTAAAGAGAGGCGCCCATAGAGATAGGCGCCTATAGAGATATGTGCCCCTAGAGATAGGCGCCCCTAGAGATAGACGCCCATAGAGATAGGCGCCCCTAGAGATAGGCGCCCATAGAGATAGGCGCCACTAGAGATAGGCGCCCCTAGAGATAGGCGCCCATAGAGATAGGCGCCCGTAGAGATAGGCGCCCATAGAGATAGGCGCCCATAGAGATAGGCGCCCATAGAGATAGGCGCCCCTAGAGATAGGCGCCCATAGAGATAGGCGCCCCTAGAGATAGCCGCCCATAGAGATAGGCACCCCTAGAGATAGGCGCCCCTAGAGATAGGCGCCCCTGGAGATAGGCGCCACTAGAGATAGGTGCCCCTAGAGGTAGGCGCCCCTAGAGATGGGCGCCCATAGAGATAGGCGCCTCTAGAGATTGGCGCCCCTAAAGAGAGGCGCCCATAGAGATAGGCGCCTATAGAGATATGTGCCCCTAGAGATAGGCGCCCCTAGAGATAGACGCCCATAGAGATAGGCGCCCCTAGAGATAGGCGCCCATAGAGATAGGCGCCCATAGAGATAGGCGCCCCTAGAGATAGGCGCACATAGAGATAGGCGCCCATAGAGATTGGCGCCCAAAGAGATAGGCGCCTCTAGAGATTGGCGCCCCTAAAGAGAGGCGCCCATAGAGATAGGCGCACATAGAGATAAGCGCCCCTAGAGATAGGCGCCTATAGAGATAGGCGCCGCTAAAGATAGGCGCCCATAGAGATAGGCGCCCCTAGAGATAGGCGCCCATAGAGATAGGCGCCCATAGAGATAGGCGCCCATAGGGATAGGCGCCCCTAGAGATAGGCACCCATAGAGATAGGCGCCCAAAGAGATAGGCACCCATAGATATAGGCGCCCATAGAGATAGGCGCCCATAGAGATAGGCGCCCATAGAGATAGGCGCCCCTAGAGATAGGCGCACATAGAGATAGGCGCCCATAGAGATTGGCGCCCAAAGAGATAGGCGCCTCTAGAGATTGGCGCCCCTAAAGAGAGGCGCCCATAGAGATAGGCGCACATAGAGATAAGCGCCCCTAGAGATAGGCGCCTATAGAGATAGGCGCCGCTAAAGATAGGCGCCCATAGAGATAGGCGCCCCTAGAGATAGGCGCCCATAGAGATAGGCGCCCATAGAGATAGGCGCCGCTAAAGATAGGCGCCCATAGAGATAGGCGCCCCTAGAGATAGGCGCCCATAGAGATAGGCGCCCCTAGAGATAGGCGCCCATAGAGATAGGCGCCCATAGAGATAGGCGCCCCTAGAGATAGGCACCCCTAGAGATAGGCGCCCATAGAGATAGGCGCCCAAAGAGATAGGCACCCATAGAGATAGGCGCCCATAGAGATAGGCGCCCATAGAGATAGGCGCCCATAGAGATAGGCGCCCCTAGAGATAGGTGCCTATAGAGATAGGCGCCACTAGAGATAGGCGCCCCTAGAGATAGGCGCCGCTAAAGATAGGCGCCCATAGAGATAGGCGCCCCTAGAGATAGGCGCCCATAGAGATAGGCGCCCATAGAGATAGGCGCCCCTAGAGATAGGCGCCCCTAGAGATAGGCGCCCATAGAGATAGGCGCCCAAAGAGATAGGCACCTTTAGAGATAGGCGCCCATAGAGATAGGCGCCCATAGAGATAGGCGCCCATAGAGATAGGCGCCCCTAGAGATAGGCGCCCATAGAGATAGGCGCCCAAAGAGATAGGCACCCATAGGGATAGGCGCCCATAGAGATAGGCGCCCATAGAGATAGGCGCCCAAAGAGATAGGCACCCATAGGGATACGCGCCCATAGAGATAGGCGCCCATAGAGATAGGCGCACATAGAGATAGGCGCCCCTAGAGATAGGCGCCCATAGAGATAGGCGCCACTAGAGATAGGCGCCCCTAGAGATAGGCGCCTATAGAGTTAGGCGCCGCTAAAGATAGGCGCCCATAGAGATAGGCGCCCCTAGAGATAGGCACCCATAGAGATAGGCGCCCATAGAGATAGGCGCCCATAGGGATAGGCACCCCTAGAGATAGGCGCCCATAGAGATAGGCGCCCAAAGAGATAGGCACCCATAGATATAGGCGCCCATAGAGATAGGCGCCCATAGAGATAGGCGCCCATAGAGATAGGCGCCCCTAGAGATAGGTGCCCATAGAGATAGGCGCCACTAGAGATAGGCGCCCCTAGAGATAGGCGCCGCTAAAGATAGGCGCCCATAGAGATAGGCGCCCCTAGAGATAGGCGCCCATAGAGATAGGCGCCCATAGAGATAGGCGCCCCTAGAGATAGGCACCCCTAGAGATAGGCGCCCATAGAGATAGGCGCCCAAAGAGATAGGCACCCATAGAGATAGGCGCCCCTAGAGATAGGCGCCGCTAAAGATAGGCGCATATAGAGATAGGCGCCGCTAAAGATAGGCGCCCATAGAGATAGGCGCCCCTAGAGATAGGCGCCCATAGAGATAGGCGCCCATAGAGGTAGGCGCCCCTAGAGATAGGCACCCCTAGAGATAGGCGCCCATAGAGATAGGCGCCCAAAGAGATAGGCACCCATAGAGATAGGCGCCCATAGAGATAGGCGCCCATAGAGATAGGCGCCCCTAGAGATAGGCGCCCATAGAGATAGGCGCCACTAGAGATAGGTGCCCCTAGAGATAGGCGCCCATAGAGATAGGCGCCCGTAGAGATAGGCGCCCATAGAGATAGGCGCCCATAGAGATAGGCGCCCCTAGAGATAGGCACCCCTAGAGATAGGCGCCCATAGAGATAGGCGCCCAAAGAGATAGGCACCCATAGAGATAGGCGCCCATAGAGATAGGCGCCCATAGAGATAGGCGCCAATAGAGATAGGCGCCCCTAGAGATAGGCGCCCATAGAGAAAGGCGCCACTAGAGATAGGCGCCCCTAGAGATAGGCGCCCATAGAGATAGGCGCCCGTAGAGATAGGCGCCCATAGAGATAGGCGCCCATAGAGATAGGCGCCCATAGAGATAGGCGCCCCTAGAGATAGGCGCCCCTAGAGATAGGCGCCCATAGAGATAGGCGCCCAAAGAGATAGGCGCCCATAGAGATAGGCGCCCCTAGAGATAGGCGCCCATAGAGATAGGCGCCCCTAGAGATAGCCGCCCCTAGAGATAGGCAACCCTAGAGATAGGCGCCCCTAGAGATAGGCGCCCCTGGAGATAGGCGCCACTAGAGATAGGTGCCCCTAGAGGTAGGCGCCCCTAGAGAAGGGCGCCCATAGAGATAGGCGCCTCTAGAGATTGGCGCCCCTAAAGAGAGGCGCCCATAGAGATAGGCGCACATAGAGATAAGCGCCCTTAGAGATAGGCGCCTATAGAGATAGGCGCCGCTAAAGATAGGCGCCCATAGAGATAGGCGCCCCTAGAGATAGGCGCCCATAGAGATAGGCGCCCATAGAGATAGGCGCCCATAGGGATAGGCGCCCCAAGAGATAGGCGCCCATAGAGATAGGCGCCCAAAGAGATAGGCACCCATAGAGATAGGCGCCCATAGAGATAGGCGCCCCTAGAGATAGGCGCCCATAGAGATAGGCGCCCCTCGAGATAGGTGCCTATAGAGATAGGCGCCACTAGAGATAGGCGCCCCTAGAGATAGGCGCCCATAGAGATAGGCGCCCATAGAGATAGGCGCCCCTAGAGATAGGCGCCCCTAGAGATAGGCGCCCATAGAGATAGGCGCCCAAAGAGATAGGCACCCATAGAGATAGGCGCCCATAGAGATAGGCGCCCATAGAGATAGGCGCCCATAGAGATAGGCGCCCCAAGAGATAGGCGCCCATAGAGATAGGCGCCCAAAGAGATAGGCACCCATAGGAATAGGCGCCCATAGAGATAGGCGCCCATAGAGATAGGCGCCCAAAGAGATAGGCACCCATAGGGATAGGCGCCCATAGAGATAGGCGCCCATAGAGATAGGCGCACATAGAGATAGGCGCCCCTAGAGATAGGCGCCCATAGAGATAGGCGCCACTAGAGATAGGCGCCCCTAGAGATAGGCGCCTATAGAGTTAGGCGCCGCTAAAGATAGGCGCCCATAGAGATAGGCGCCCCTAGAGATAGGCACCCATAGAGATAGGCGCCCATAGAGATAGGCGCCCCTAGAGATAGGCACCCCTAGAGATAGGCGCCCATAGAGATAGGCGCCCAAAGAGATAGGCACCCATAGAGATAGGCGCCCATAGAGATAGGCGCCCATAGAGATAGGCGCCCATAGAGATAGGCGCCCCTAGAGATAGGCGCCCATAGAGATAGGCGCCACTAGAGATAGGTGCCCCTAGAGATAGGCGCCCATAGAGATAGGCGCCCGTAGAGATAGGCGCCCCTAGAGATAGGCGCCCATAGAGATAGGCGCCCATAGAGATAGGCGCCCCTAGAGATAGGCGCCCATAAAGATAGGCGCCCCTAGAGATAGCCGCCCCTAGAGATAGGCACCCCTAGAGATAGGCGCCCCTAGAGATAGGCGCCCCTGGAGATAGGCGCCACTAGAGATAGGTGCCCCTAGAGGTAGGCGCCCCTAGAGATGGGCGCCCATAGAGATAGGCGCCTCTAGAGATTGGCGCCCCTAAAGAGAGGCGCCCATAGAGATAGGCGCCTATAGAGATATGTGCCCCTAGAGATAGGCGCCCCTAGAGATAGACGCCCATAGAGATAGGCGCCCCTAGAGGTAGGCGCCCATAGAGATAGGCGCCCATAGAGATAGGCGCCCCTAGAGATAGGCGCACATAGAGATAGGCGCCCATAGAGATTGGCGCCCAAAGATATAGGCGCCTCTAGAGATTGGCGCCCCTGAAGAGAGGCACCCATAGAGATAGGCGCACATAGAGATAAGCGCCCCTAGAGATAGGCGCCCATAGAGATAGGCGCCCCTAGAGATAGCCGCCCCTAGAGATAGGCAACCCTAGAGATAGGCGCCCCTAGAGATAGGCGCCCCTGGAGATAGGCGCCACTAGAGATAGGTGCCCCTAGAGGTAGGCGCCCCTAGAGAAGGGCGCCCATAGAGATAGGCGCCTCTAGAGATTGGCGCCCCTAAAGAGAGGCGCCCATAGAGATAGGCGCACATAGAGATAAGCGCCCTTAGAGATAGGCGCCTATAGAGATAGGCGCCGCTAAAGATAGGCGCCCATAGAGATAGGCGCCCCTAGAGATAGGCGCCCATAGAGATAGGCGCCCATAGAGATAGGCGCCCATAGGGATAGGCGCCCCAAGAGATAGGCGCCCATAGAGATAGGCGCCCAAAGAGATAGGCACCCATAGAGATAGGCGCCCATAGAGATAGGCGCCCCTAGAGATAGGCGCCCATAGAGATAGGCGCCCCTCGAGATAGGTGCCTATAGAGATAGGCGCCACTAGAGATAGGCGCCCCTAGAGATAGGCGCCCATAGAGATAGACGCCCATAGAGATAGGCCCACCTAGAGATAGGCGCCCCTAGAGATAGGCGCCCATAGAGATAGGCGCCCAAAGAGATAGGCACCCATAGAGATAGGCGCCCATAGAGATAGGCGCCCATAGAGATAGGCGCCCATAGAGATAGGCGCCCCAAGAGATAGGCGCCCATAGAGATAGGCGCCCAAAGAGATAGGCACCCATAGGAATAGGCGCCCATAGAGATAGGCGCCCATAGAGATAGGCGCCCAAAGAGATAGGCACCCATAGGGATAGGCGCCCATAGAGATAGGCGCCCATAGAGATAGGCGCACATAGAGATAGGCGCCCCTAGAGATAGGCGCCCATAGAGATAGGCGCCACTAGAGATAGGCGCCCCTAGAGATAGGCGCCTATAGAGTTAGGCGCCGCTAAAGATAGGCGCCCATAGAGATAGGCGCCCCTAGAGATAGGCACCCATAGAGATAGGCGCCCATAGAGATAGGCGCCCCTAGAGATAGGCACCCCTAGAGATAGGCGCCCATAGAGATAGGCGCCCAAAGAGATAGGCACCCATAGAGATAGGCGCCCATAGAGATAGGCGCCCATAGAGATAGGCGCCCATAGAGATAGGCGCCCCTAGAGATAGGCGCCCATAGAGATAGGCGCCACTAGAGATAGGTGCCCCTAGAGATAGGCGCCCATAGAGATAGGCGCCCGTAGAGATAGGCGCCCCTAGAGATAGGCGCCCATAGAGATAGGCGCCCATAGAGATAGGCGCCCCTAGAGATAGGCGCCCATAAAGATAGGCGCCCCTAGAGATAGCCGCCCCTAGAGATAGGCACCCCTAGAGATAGGCGCCCCTAGAGATAGGCGCCCCTGGAGATAGGCGCCACTAGAGATAGGTGCCCCTAGAGGTAGGCGCCCCTAGAGATGGGCGCCCATAGAGATAGGCGCCTCTAGAGATTGGCGCCCCTAAAGAGAGGCGCCCATAGAGATAGGCGCCTATAGAGATATGTGCCCCTAGAGATAGGCGCCCCTAGAGATAGACGCCCATAGAGATAGGCGCCCCTAGAGGTAGGCGCCCATAGAGATAGGCGCCCATAGAGATAGGCGCCCCTAGAGATAGGCGCACATAGAGATAGGCGCCCATAGAGATTGGCGCCCAAAGATATAGGCGCCTCTAGAGATTGGCGCCCCTGAAGAGAGGCACCCATAGAGATAGGCGCACATAGAGATAAGCGCCCCTAGAGATAGGCGCCTACAGAGATAGGCGCCGCTAAAGATAGGCGCCCATAGAGATAGGCGCCCCTAGAGATAGGCGCCCATAGAGATAGGCGCCCATAGAGATAGGCGCCCCTAGAGATAGGCGCCCCTAGAGATAGGCGCCCATAGAGATAGGCGCCCAAAGAGATAGGCGCCCATAGAGATAGGCGCCCATAGAGATAGGCGCCCATAGAGATAGGCGCCCATAGAGATAGGCGCCCCTAGAGATACGTGCCCATAGAGATAGGCGCCACTAGAGATAGGCGCCCCTAGAGATAGGCGCCGCTAAAGATAGGCGCCCATAGAGATAGGCGCCCCTAGAGATAGGCGCCCATAGAGATAGGCGCCCATAGAGATAGGCACCCCTAGAGATAGGCGCCCCTAGAGATAGGCGCCCATAGAGATAGGCGCCCATAGAGATAGGCGCCCATAGAGATAGGCGCCCATAGAGATAGGCGCCCCTAGAGATAGGCGCCCATAGAGATAGGCGCCACAAGAGATAGGCGCCCCTAGAGATAGGCGCCCATAGAGATAGGCGCCCGTAGAGATAGGCGCCCATAGAGATATGCGCCCATAGAGATAGGCGCCCATAGAGATAGGCGCCCCTAGAAATAGGCGCCCCTAGAGATAGGCGCCCATAGAGTTAGGCGCCCAAAGAGATAGGCGCCCATAGAGATAGGAGCCCCTAGAGATAGGCGCCCATAGAGATAGGCGCCCCTAGAGATAGCCGCCCCTAGAGATAGGCATCCCTAGAGATAGGCGCCACTAGAGATAGGCACCCATAGAGATAGGCACCCATAGAGATAGGCGCCCATAGAGATAGGCGCCCATAGAGATAGGCGCCCATAGAGATAGGCGCCCCTAGAGATAGGCGCCCATAGAGATAGGCGCCCCTAGAGATAGGCGCCCATAGAGATAGGCGCCACTAGAGATAGGTGCCCCTAGAGATAGGCGCCCATAGAGATAGGCGCCCGTAGAGATAGGCGCCCATAGAGATAGGCGCCCATAGAGATAGGCGCCCATAAAGATAGGCGCCCCTAGAGATAGGCGCCCATAGAGATAGGCACCCCTAGAGATAGCCGCCCCTAGAGATAGGCACCCCTAGAGATAGGCGCCACTAGAGATAGGCGCCCCTGGAGATAGGCGCCACTAGAGATAGGTGCCCCTAGAGGTAG